ATGGAAGGATGAGGTTTTGTGGAAAGCTTTACTGATGACGTAAAATTAAGGGAGTTCTCCTCCAAGGTCCCATCACTCTCCATCCCGTCCAGGAACAAAACCCACCTTGTCTTCAGCAGGGCTAGGATGAAAGCCACTGTCCAGAGCCCCCACTCCATATTAAAGCACAGCCCAGTCCAGCATCTGACTAGCTGCAGCCCATGTGTGTGGGGTCTGCATGGCCATGGGCCATGCGGCTGCTAAGGTCCTGGCAGGCTAGAACACAGGTAAGTGAGGGTTACCACGAACAAGCCAGAAGTGTGTGTGTGGGGGGGGGGGGAGGGGGTCGAGGAGGAGGAGAAAGAGAGAGAGAGAAATTTCTGTCCAGGCATTATAATCAGTTTAACTCATTAACCTTCAGGATTTCATGGGCTTGCAGTGGCTCTTCCCCTCTAGCCAGTTGTCTTTTTCCCCAGGTTTTACTGACAGACAAGCACCTTCCCTATGTCATGCTGACTTCAGTGTGCATGCACCATCTCCCCCTTTGCTTTCTTCTTATTATTAATATTAACAAACTAGTTAATTATGACAATAACATGATCCATTTTTTTTTCTTTTATGGATCATTCTTTTGGTGTCATGTCTCTACCAAGTCCTAGGTTCTACAGATTTTCTCCTATATATTTTTTCTAAATGTTTTACAGTTTTACATTTAAGATTATGATTTATTTTGTTAATTTTTATATAACTTTGATGAAGTTTAGATCATAGGTTTTATTGCCTGTGAATATCCCAATTTGTTGACAAAGACTATTCTTCCTCCATTGAATTGCTTTTGTACCTTCGCACGTGTCAGTTGGTAGTACTTGTAGGGGTCTATTTCTGGCTTTTCTGTTTTCTGTTGATCTGAATCTCCATCTCTCCACAAGTACCACACTGTCTTGGTAACTGTGACTATGAAATAAGCCTTGAAACTGAGTAGCCTGATACTTTCAATATTTTTTTACATTTTTAAGTTATTCTACTTCCATTCCATTCAAATTTTGGAGTAATCTTAATTTATATTCACAATAAACTTTGCTGGGATTTTGATAGGAATTGTGTTAAAACTGAATATCCATTTGAGAAGATTGACATCTTTATTATGTATGAACATAGTATATATCTCCACTTGTTTAGATCTTTATTTGATTTCTTTCATTTGCATCTTGTAGTTCTAGCATACAAGTTCCGAGCATGTTTAGACTTATACCTAAGTGTTTCACTTTGTAGAGCAATTGCATATGGCATTATATTTTATTTCTGTTTACATGTGCTCTCTGCTGGTATATAGAGAGTTGTTAATTTTTATATATTGAGCTTGTAATTCGGTGACCTTGATATACTCACTTATTTGTTCTTCCAGTATTATGTTGATTAACAATGATGAGATGGGACATCCTTGCTTTGTTCCTAATATTAGAGGAAAGCATCCAGTCTTTCATCATTAAGTATGATGTTACTTCAGGTTTATTTATTTATTTTTTATCCATTTGAAGATGTTCCCCTTATGCCTAGTTTTCTGGGAGTTTTTATCGTGAATGGATATTGAATTTTGTCAAGTGCTTTTTCCGCATCAATTGATAGAATGATGTGATTTTTCTTCCTAAGCCTGTTAATATTGGTAGATTATATTGATTGATGTTTTGATGTTGAACTGGCCTTGTATCCTGGAATAAACACAAGTAGATCATGATATCCTGTGCTGACATAGTGCTAAAACCTATGTGCTAAGATTTTGTTAAAGATTGTTACTTTATAAGAGATATTAGATTGTAGTTTTTGTGTTTTCTTTGTCTGATTTTGTTATCAGGTTAATATTGGCTTTCTGATATTAATGAAAAAGTATTCCTTTCCTATTTTAGGGAAGAGAATATATTAATTTTTGTGTTAATTTTTCTTTAAATGTTTGGTAGAATTCTATAGTAAAACAGTCTGGGCTTAGAGATTTCTTTTTCTGAAGTTTTAAATTTATATATCTACTTTTCTTAATAGTTACAGGGCTACTGAAATATTTGAGTTGAAGTACTTTGTGATCTTCGAAGAATTGGTTCATTTCATCTAAGTTTTCAAATTTATGTGTTTGATATTTTCTTACTTTCCTTTGATGTCTGTAGTGATATCAGATATTAGAGCTTCATTCCTAATACTATTAATTTGTGTGTTCTCTCTTTTTTCTTTCAGTCTTGCTAGAGATTGATCAATTTTGATTGATGTTTTTTCAAAGAACCATCTTATGTTTTATAAATCTTCTTTACTTTTCTGTTTTCAATTTCATTGCTTTCTATTCTTATATTTACAAGTTTCTCTGTGTTTTCACTGCATTCCAAAAACGTAGTGTGTTGTATTTTCATTCAGATCCATGTATTTTTTAATTTCCATTGAGATTTCCTCATTGACCCATAGATTATTTACAAGTCTGTTGTTTCATTTCTAAGTGTTTATTTTCCCGTTATCTTTCTGCTCATGACTTCCTAGTTTGATCTTTATAATGGTCAGAGAATGCACTGTCCAATTTAAGTCTTTAAAATTCTCTGAGGTTAGTTTTAGGCTTTATGAGCCTGTGGTGGAAGTTCTGTGTTTGCTTGAAAAGAGTGCTGCTGCTGTTGGGTCGCGTGTCCCGTGTCAGTTAGCGTCTGCTGGGTGACGGTGCTGTTGACTTCTTTAATATCTTTGCTGATTTACTTTCTAATTGTTCAATCAGTTATTGAGAGAGCAGGGTTGAAATCCCTCTGTAATTGTGGATTTGTCTGTTTTTCCTTTCTCTTTAAAAAAAAAATACATTTTTATTGATTTCAGATAGGAAGGGAGAGGGAGAGAAAGATAGAAACATCAATGATGAGAGAGCATCATTGATCAGTTGCCTCCTGTACGCCCCAGACTGGGATCAAGCCTGCAACCCAGGCATGTGCCCTGTCTGAGAATCAAACCATGACCTCCTGGTTCATAGGTTGACACTCAACCACTGAGGCATGCCGACAAGGCTGTTTTTCCTTTCAATTGTAACAGTTTTGTGTCACATACTATACAGCTCTGTTGTTCGGTTCCTTTAAAATTATGTCTCACCCAGTCAGCATGGCTCAGGCTCATTCCCCAGTGTGGGGTGTGCAGGAGGCAGTCAATTAATAATTCTCTCTGATTATTGATGTTTCTATCTCTTTCCCTTTCCCTTCCTCCCTGAAATCAATAAAAAAAAAAATATTTCTCTTGACCTTTTAAAAAATGACTAGAAAAACACACATGGGAATGCCACAACAATGGGAAACTAAGCATTCAATATTACAGAATGGTTCCAGAATTTCTTTTTAAAGTTTGATTTGCTAATCTTTGCATTTTAACTGCAGAACTAGTGATTTTGAGTGCAGTCTGATTAACAGTAGTGATACAAGATAGAATAGACAGTAGAACCAGGGGCCTAAAAAGATTGCAGGCAATTCAGAATTTCAGTAAATACCCAAAGTGCATCTCATCATTATTGCATATCTCTGGGCCACTTAAGCACTGTTATCAGATGCATGATTCACCATGGCAATTGATGAATGAAAAAACTCAATATATATTTCCCCTTTGTAGTGTTTTAAAACTTTTGGTTCTGAAAAATACCTTTTGAATTGTGCCGTGCCAGCATAGCCAAGGGTTCAACAAGCCTGAGGGATATCATGTTCTCTCTGAAAAGACAAACAGAGAGAATAAGCTGGGTCTAGGTTGATCTTCCTGTGCCTGGCTAAGGCCACAGAGAAAGAGATCCAGACTGCAAGCTGAGCCTTTATTTTATAGCCAGAGGTAAACAAGGTAGTGGTCACCATAGTTACCATGTCCTTGTGAGTTTCACTTGTTGTGGCAGCACTTGCTGCATCTCCCACAGCCTATTAGCTACCCAGGAAGGATCTAGGGAGTGTCATAAGGTCAGGCTTAATTATGCTAAGAGGGCTGTGCCCTCCAAGCTGGGACTTGTTTCTGGCTTTGCCAACAGGTCAGTCCTAGGCTTAACTCTATAGCTGCTCCCTGCATTGAACTCTGTCTCATTCTCTCTCTGTTTTTCTGTTAAATCTAGACAGCAAGGAAGCATTTTTTCTTTTCTGTAATTTAAAAACTTTTTGTCAGGTTTAAATTACTTGAGGGGAAAATCTGAATATTGACTCTTGACAAAGCAGAAGTCCATAATCCATCCATTTTATAAGCATTTATGTCAAACCAAAATTCTTTCATGTCTCCATATTAGTATGTTCACATTCACAGCTAGGACTGTATCTCCAGAAGTGAGAGAGGGTATCTCAGCCAAAGGTCATTAAAAAAAAAAATGTGTATATATATATATATATATATATATATATATATATATATATATAATTGATTTTTTTTTTCAGAGAGGAAAGGAGAGGGATAGAGAGTTGGAAACATCAATGAGAGAGAAACATCCATCAGCTGCTTCCTGCACACCCCCTATTAGGGATGTGCCTGCAACCAAGGTACATGCCCTTGACAGGGATGGAACTTGGGACCTTTCAGTATGCAAGCCAACACTCTATCCACTGAGCCAAACCAGTTAGGGCTGGTGGTCAGTTTTGCACTGTGATGAAGAAAACCAGTCAGATGTGAACTGGGGCTACCAGTCTCATAATAGACTACTTACTAACATTAGACCAATGCTAAGAGTAAAGCAGAATCATAGGAAATGTTAATGATAAATGAACATATATGTAGATATACATGTATGTGTGTATTGTATATACACATAAAATAAAGATATATATATATATATAGATAGATAGATAGATAGATAATACACACACACACACACACACACACACACACACACATATATAGCCCACTTTTCCCTTATGTCCCCACCTCCACACACCTTCATGGTGCACTCTCATCTATTTGTTACCAGCACTAGTTCATATTCATGTTCCTTCCACTCAGTGGGAGACTCCCAACCACTGGGCATGGGCTGAGTAGAAAGTTATCCTATAGCCATGCATTTTAAAAAAGAAATAACCACACTCGTCCTTCTCCTCAGTGACACTTTCTCAGCTCTGCTTTCTTGAAAACCAAGATGAGCTACACTCACTTTGGGAAGTACGTGATGAGAATGGTCGACCTGTTCCACAGACACGCCAAACCTGATGACGTGACTGACGAGCCGAGCCTGCTGATGTTGCTGAAGGAGAATTTCCCTAACTTTGTCCAGGCCTGTGAGAAAAAGGACAACAATTATCTGTCCTATATCTTTGAGGAAAGGGATCAGAATAAGGACAAGAAGATCCAGTTTTCGGAGTTTCTGTGCTTGGTGGGGGACATAGCCATGGACTACCACAGGCAGAGTCACGGAGCCACACCCTGTTCGGGGGGAAGACGGTGATGGTGCCCAGACTCAGGCCGCCAGAAACCACAAGAAATGATAGTGTCCCTTTTGCCCAGGAAAAAAAAAAAGAGAAAGAAATAAAGAAATAACCTTGCAATCATTTGAAACAAAGCCAAGTATTACTTTTAAAAAGCTACCTGCTTTCAATTAAGCAGGAAATTATCTAAGAAGCCACTTAATTTGCTTTGGTCTGTAGTCCCGCCACTGCTTTATGCTGAGTAGAGCATGAAATTAAATATGTAGTAACAACTATCCTAATGGTAATGTTCCAGAATGCTGGCGCTGGAGAATCTTTGGTATTCTGAGGGATAACAAATACAAAAACATACCAATCATAGACTATGGCTGCATTGGGTTTGAGAAAAACATAAACTATTATTAATGTTCTCCATGTATTTATCTATATAGCTCTATAGGTTATATATATTTTAAAACTATTGTTTAAAAATGATTTTTCTATTATACATACAGAAAGGGTAGTCATACATGTATGGAGAAATCTCTCTGACAATAAAATGCTCCCACAACCCCCATCCATGGAAATTCTTACACTATTTTCTTGGGTCCAGCTGTAAAGTGGATTATTGAAGGATCTAGTAAAGGAGAAGGTCATAGTGAATTTTTAACATTTGTTGAATAAATGCTAATACTAATCCCTTGTTTGAGTATTCATCTTTGTTAAGAGCCAAGAATACATGCTGTTTGCAATGGAGAAAGTGTTTATGTAGACATATAAGGGCACTAGTTTATGCAGGAGATTTTAGAAGCATTACTAAAGTGACACTTCAATCCGTACTTAACAATGTTGTAAATGCTAGATGGTTCTCAGAGACTCCTATTTATTTAAACATTTTTTACAACTTTGAAACTATTTTTATACTAGATAAATCTTTTCAAACACTAATCATATTATATGTAAACGCCTTAAAAAAATCTCTGTATAAATGAAGATAAAAGCATCCTTGTCCTTTTGTAGTTTGTATTCCAAATGAATCCTTTCCTTTCTTTTATTTTTTTTTTTTAAGAAAAAAACTAGGTTAGACATCCTGCCAGGTTTACCAGGAAATTTTGACAAACAAATAGAAGAATTTGGGTATCTTGGTCCCCATGTGTGAAGCAGGACAAGGTTGAACTGAGACAGCTTGCAAAGTTCTAGAGTTACTCTGGCACTCATTAATTTTATGCTAAAGATGCTTAAAATTCTAATTTCTATTATCGAGTCGAACAGTACTTGATATTGTTAAAAAAACTTCGTTTTATAAATTATTATCTACAAAAATTCTCTGAGAAGCTACAAAAAAGATACCATGACAATTTATGGAGCTTTGGATATTTTTCTAGGACAAATAGTTTCCCTTCTTCAGTTGTTCTTCCGCTTTTCTTGATCAGAGAAAGAGCCTAGAGCTCAATCACATAGGATCCTTGAGCCAAAATTTGTGTGACCTGGAGAGAGATGCTTACCTTCTTTTAAAAAAACAAAACAAATATATTTTTATTGATTCCTGAGAGGAAGGGAGAGGGAGAGAGAGAGAGAAACATCAAGGATGAGAGAGAACCATTGATTGGCTGCCTCCTGCACACCCCCTACTAGGGATCATGCACACAATCATGCATGTGTGCTTGACCAGAATTGAACCCGGGACCCTTCAGTTGCCAGGCCGATTCTCTGTCCACTGAGACAAACCAGCCAGGGCAATGCTTAACCTCTTTGAGTCAAAGTCCAATAAACTGTAAAACTGTTTATGTATACAATGGGGGTAATGATTATTGTTTATCAGAATTGTGAGGATTGCTGTGTAAGATAAGAGAAGCATCCTTTAGATTGACTAACACATAGTAGGGCTTTTTTATGGTTTACTTGGCTTCCTTGAATTGGTGGATCATTTTAGCTTTCTTTTCTGTTTTCTGTCTGGCTGTGGCAGGTCACACGGCAACCATTCCATGTATTTTATTTTATTTAGTTCTCCTAAACAACCTGGTGAGATAGGTCTTATTATTATTATCCCATTTTCCAGCTGAGAACATCAGAACCCAGAGACTGATAATAGATTACTCACCATTTCAGGAAGAAAGAAGCAGGTAAGGGTGGCACTTTGAGTTCAAGAGGACTTTTTGCCTGAAACCCAGCCAGAACTTTTCCCTTTAATAAGATGTACGTGTATTATTGTCAGCCTGCAAAACCTGTATCCACTTTACTGTGTGTCTTTTGTCATGAAACATTAGTGACAGAGTGAAGGATAATAATAGTTGTAACTCTAGTCCAAGGGGCTTGAAGTAGACAGACTTTAGGACATGGAATTAGTTCCAATGGCCAAATCTTTGTTAAAAAAAAAAAAAAAAGTTACGATAGAATAGTTCAATTGCATTTATTAACAAGCACCTAAAAACTAATTTTAATTAATTTTATAGTGTCAACGTAAGAAACATTCAAACCTATAGAGAAATTTTGTGAATTTATTTGAGCCAAATTGCTGACAGCTGCCAAGAAGTACAATTTTAATGGATTGAGATAATGCTCCAGAGAATGGCAGTTTTGCATCTTATACATTACAATAAAAAGAGAAGATGTACATGGGTTACATGAAATCCATTGGTGATAGATTAGGGAGGTAGGAGAAAGCAAAGCTGGTGGGGTTGGGGGGAACCTCTGGGACTGGATAAAAAGTACAAGGATAGACACAGGCTTCCTTTAAATCACATGTGTCAAACACAAGGCCCGCGGGCCAAATCCGTCCTGCCAGGCCTTGCAATGTGGCCCGCACCGCGCTGTCATCACTGCACTCCGCTGCGTTTCCATCACAATGACAGTTTATGACTGTTCAGTAAACCATTCGGCCCGCGATTTAGGCTGGATTTTAGATTTTGGCCCCTTCTCTGATTGAGTTCGACACCCCTACTTTAAATAGTAGTTTCTTTACAAAGGTGGGTACTGGATAGTTAACAGTCAGCAATAACAATGAGAGTTGGCCTCTCCGCCCTGAGGGGTCTGGAAAAAAAAGGAAGTTCCCCTGAAATCCCAAAGGAATGTTATCTAGATGCAAAAAGACAATAGACTCAATTAAGGTGAAAGTTGACCTTTGTCAGGGAAGTTTCTAGCCTGGGACATGACCACCCGCTATAAACTGCTTTTAGTTTAAAATTTTTAATTTCAGATCATCCTATGTGATTACTTTAGGTCTCTGAGTTTCTAAGTTGGGCACACAGTCCTTCTCTGAGCTTGTCAGGTTTAGTCTGTGGCCTCTTTATCATGAGAAAGAGAGAGAGAGAGAAAATTAAATGGAAGAATTAATGAATAAATGAATGACTATTTCTATTTTCACTTTAGCATTAAATAATTAAAGTCCTTGGAAAAGGGACAGCAAATACAGGGTGAGGCAAAAGTAGATTTACAATGTGAGTATGCAGAACACAGAGTATGTTTTTGTTATTGTTTATTAACTAGAGGCCCCGTGCACAACATTTGTGCATTCAGGGGTGAAGGGAGTGGGCTCCCTCAGCCAGGCCTGTGCCCTCTTGCAGTACAGGAACCCTTGGGGGTGTCTGACTGAAGCATGGAGAATAGGCCTAAGCAGTCGTACATCCTTAGCTGCTGCAGAGGTGGAAGAGGCTCTTGCCACTGCCACTGCACTCGTCAATTGTGAACCCAGCTTCTGGCTGAGTGGTGCTCCTGGGAGCGTACTGACTACCAGGAGGCAGCTCCTGCATTGGGCATCTGCCCCCTGGTGGTCAGTGTGCATCATAGTGACCAGTCATTCATCCATTTGGTCTATTTGCTTATTAGCCTCTTATTATATAAAATTATTATATTATTTTCTATATGTAAAACTGTAAACTTACTTTTGCTCCACCCTGAATATAGTATGCATATCCCTTGTCTATCCTCCCTTGCTAATGGATTACTCCGTCCTGCTGAGTCTGAAGGTAACCTCAGAATCTTTGTCAATATAGGACCTGTGATGTCCCTATCAGTTAACCTAAATTGCATTTTAAAGAAAGTGGGACCTATTAACCCTGGATAATCATGGATATTTATGCTTAAATTTACCACATAGAGGAGTTCAAAGATAGAAGTTTTCCCAAAAGAGATGTCACTCTTATTCTGGAACACTACAATGTATAATCTAGTATGTGATAGAAGAGAAAATAAATATATGAGAAGAGGATTAAACAAAGAAATCTATACTAATAAAAACCTAGACAGCCCTTGCATCATCACAAGATGGCCACCACAAGATGGCTGTCACAATATGGCTGCCACAAGATGGCCAGCAGGGGAGGGCAGTTGGGGACGATCGGGCTGGCAGGGGAGCATTAATCAGGCCAGCAGGGAAATGGTTAGGGGGCGATCAGGCAGGCAGGCAGAGGCAGTTGAGGGCAATCAGGCAGGCAGGCAGGTAGGTAAGTGGTCAGCAAGCAGTCCTGGATTGTGAGAGGGATGTCTGGCAGTCGGACATCCCCTGAGGGGTTCCAGACTGGAGAGGATGTAGGCTGGGCTGAGGTACACCCCCTCCAGTGCATTAATTTTATGCACCAGGCCTCTAGTTGTCTATAATTTACATAGCAATATTGTTGCTAATGTATTCAGAGAGGGAGGGGATGAGGAAGGAAGGAAAAAAACTATCTTCTGACTGTCAGTCTGTACACAGTCAAAACAGGGCTGGGGTTGAAATAAAGATCTCATAATTTTAATGACTTTTACTTATTTATTCATAAAAAATTCTGGGTTTATATGTAATTTGTGAAGCTGGCAGTGGGCATGCAAAGATGGATAAGATGTGGTCCCTGTCCTCAAGGGGGACTCCAAGTCTAATGAGGAAGGTGGAAGGTAAACAATTCTATGTGGTCTTGCTGCAGTAGTCAGGTATTTAGTAAATGTACTGACCACTAGACTATGGTGCTTCTCTTTTACACACCAGTGGACTAGAGCTTCATGTTCAAATACACATTTTAATATAGAAAATAAAATCTATTGATATTTTATTATTAAAAAGGTATACCAGCACCTTGCTTTGTTGAAATGTATATGTTCTATGTAGAAAATATCTTAGAAATAGAA